CCTGGGCACTGGCACAGGGCCCAAGGCCCTGTTGGGAGCAGGGGTGCAGGAGGCACAGCAGGATGAGTCTAATCCTGAGCTGCCGTGACGGTTAAACCCAGATTAGCCCCAGCCGTGACACGGATCAACCTGCCCCGGGGACCCGAGGCGCAGCAGCCCAAGCAGGGACCAGCAGCAGGGGCGGGGGCTGAAGAGAGGACGGCCAGGGCTGGTGGGGCTCCTGGCAGCAGGAAGGGTCCAGGCTCCAGCAAGCTGGCCAAGGACGGACAGCCCAGGACGACAACCAGGAAGAGGCCGAGGGCTAGGGCCCCAGCAGGCTCGGGGCACTAGACTCAGCCCTGTTCCCGGCTCTGTCTGTCTGGCCAGGGGACCCAGGCCAGTCCCTGTCACCTCCCCGGCTCAGCGTCCCGTCTGTGCGGTGTGTGGTTGGCTCAGCTGACACTTCTGCTCTGACGTCCGTCCTAAGTGTGGCACCGTCAGCCTGTGTGGGCTGGGGTCACCGCAGACGGTGGCTCGGAGGAACTGAGACGCAGGGGGGTGCGTGGGCACGCAGGGAGTGACAGCCAGTCGGCCAGGCCAGCGGCACCATGTGCCCGAGGCAGGGGAAAGGAGTTGGGGGTGGGGGGTGGGGAGGGAGGTGGCAGGGCAGGGGCGGCCATCCAAGGCCCCTGGCACAGCCTTGCACAGGGAGGAGCCGCCCTGTGCCGCACAGGTGGGGAGGGGAGAGCCCTCAAGGCCTAGGTTGGCTAGGGAAGGGGGGAGGCCCTGCTACCTGCGGGGGCCACTGTCCACGCCCCCTGCCCGGCCCCCAGTTTTCTCTCTGGCCCGCGCGACAGCTGGCCGCACACCTGGTGGCCCCTGGCGAGGCCAGGAAGCCCTGGCTCTTCTGAAGGCAGCGGGTCAGCGGCCTCTTCCCCGCCACCCTGGCCTGGAGGAGGCAGCCAGGCCCGGCCGAGAAAAAGGAAGCCGGGAGAAGAGGAAACTCGCCAGGCTCGGGGCCGCCAGCAAAAGCCAGGTCAGTCTCTTGTGACACGCCAGCCACACCGCACGGGGCAGACCGGGGGCGTGGGCTGGGGCTGGGAGGCAGGACGTCCCCGCGGCCCACCCCACGGCCACCCGGCCTGGCCCTCTTCAGAGAGGGGAGCCCAGCGCCCCTGCCTCCTCCAGGTGGCCAGGCCCCGCCCTCTGCTCACAGAGTGAGCGCCCCTCCTCCCTGCAAAAGAGATCAAGGTTGCTGGAAGGGGAAGCAGGCCGGGGAAGGGCAGTGCCCACGCCTTGCGGCCTGGCTGGTGGTGAGCAGCTCTTCCCCTCTGCGGAGGAAGCCTGGGGCGACAGAGCTGGGGGTCGCCTCGCCCCCACGGGAATCACTGCGGAGAGAGCCGGGCACCCCTCGCCCCGGCATCAGAGGCCTCCCCTGCCTGCCTCGGTCCCCCGAGAGGCACCCCCGGGACAAGAGGTGGCCCGACTCAGATGTCCCCTTCTGCAAGGAACCCCCCCGGGGCCCCAGGCCGAGGCTGGCTGACCTGACACCTCCCTTGTGAGGCCTGCACCTGGCTGTCTCTCCTCTGTGGTCCCAGCTACCAGGAGGGATGCTCCCTCCTGTCCGCTCCCACAGCCCAGCGGACTCCTCTCCTGCTGTCAGCTTGCCGCTTCCTCCAGGAAGCCCTCTGAGCCAGCAGACTGGATCAGTCACCTCCCCCAGCCCCACAGCCACCTGCTACGGTAGCGGCAGATTTGTCTGCCCATCTCCCCACCTACACCTAAGAATCTCCTCCAAGGACATCGACCCTGACGTAGGCCCCAGCCAAGTCCGTGGAGTGAATACGTCCACCCTGGAGACCGCTCCCCTGGACTGATCTCAACACTCGGCCCAGGAGAGAAAAGCAACAGGAAACTCAAGGCACCGCCCCTCCCCTCCTCCCAGGTTCTACCTTCCCGAAGTCGGCAGGGGTTCAAGCAGCCTCTGCCCGCTCTTCCCACCCCAGAGTGGCAGCAACGCCAGGGCAGTGGGGCTCACAGAAGAATGGGCCCCTCCTTCGACCCTCTTTGGACATTTGGGGAAACTGAGGCTCGGAGCTAGGTGAGGACTTGGCCAGAACCACACGGCAAATTAGCCCCGAGCTGGGACTCTTCCCGAAACACCAGGGCAGCGTCCACCCCACTGCCACCTGCTCCCTGGTATCTCCACGGTGCCGGACTGAGCCTTCCCAGAGCGCGGGAGGAAGCTCCTGGTGACATCACTCCCAACCTAGGAAACCCCCTCCTCCCGGGAACTAACCTCCCCCCAAGATGTGCAGGGGGAGTTCACCGTGCAGGCGATGACTACATCTAAGGTCCCAGGTGGGCAAGGATTTCCACTGTAACTGCAGCCGCGCGGGGAGCCCCAGCTGTGACCTCACCCCCCAGAGGCGGTGACAGCAGCCCCTGCCCCAGCGAGCAGGGCCCCATAATGGCTCCCCAGTGGCCACCAAGTCAACAATAACATCCTGTCTTTCACTGGGCCAGAGAGCAGTCCACCAGCCGGACAGGTGGAAGCTGCAGACTGGGCTCTGCCCTATCTGTGCACAGGCGGGCTCACCTCTGACCTCGGGGGTCATGACCTCCCTGGGCCTCATGGGCTCCTCCAACCGAGCACGGAACACAGAGAGTTTCCAGTTGCCGTGGGCAATGCCAACCCCCGTGCTCCCCTGCACCCCACTCCTCGGGCTGCTGCCCAGACAGTCCTGCTAGGACCACACCTTCACATTTGTGGCTTGTCCAGGCCCTCAGGGGACAACCCCAGAGCCCTTCCCGCCCTGGTGAGCCCTGAGGGTCCCGGGCAGGTGCAGAGCTCAAGGACACCCTCCCCACCCTCGCCCAGGCCCGAGCTTTGCCAGAGACAGCCACTTCCCTGCAAGTGCAGGCTCTGGTCTCTCCCTGGGGCTTCAGTGCCCCCCCCAGGCCCCACACCCATCCAGGCTCCTGGCGGCTACCACGCCCCGGCCACCCGCCTGTGGACAGGGCTTCAGGCTTACAGCAGGCGCCCGGGGGCGGACCCCTCTCAGCCCACTCCAGGGTTGTCCCTACTCGAGCCCGACTGCCATGTGTTAACCCCACAGGAGACAGGAGGCAGCTGTCAGCCGGGCGCACCGGTCACCAGCTGGTGGCCCTGGGGGGCAGGTGAATGGCAGGGCCTGTCTGGCCAGTGGGGTACCTGGCACTGGTGCAGGAGACCAGAGACTGTCCTTGGACAAGACTGGTGAGAGGCTGGTGGGCCCCAGCTAGCAGGGGTCAGCAGAGGGCAGGCCCGTGTGCTCCCAGCAGTGAAGGGTGGGGCAGGGGGTGGGGTACCGTGCTAGGCTGGACACTCAGCAAAGTGGGTAAGAGGCCTGAGAGCAGCTTCAAAAAGCCTCGGGGTGGGACTGCTGATGTGCACTAAGTGCTAAGAAGTGAGTGTGCATTAAGTGTGTGGGGGAAGGAAGGGGGGCTCAGACCAGCAAGGGGAGCTTCCAGAGAGAGCCCTCAGTGGCACTGGTTCCCTACAGAGTGTCCACGGCTGCAGTGTCCAAGTCGGCCAAGGGGATGCACACGAGGTGCAGGGTGCCGAAGAAGCCCGGGCAGGAGCTGGGGGCAGCTGAGGGCGTGCAGGTGGCCAGAGCTCCCACTGCCCAGCCCCACTCCCACCGGGACCACCTCTGGCTGCTGGCAGAGCTGCAGACCAGACACTTCACTTGCAGTGGGAGAACCGCCAGCCACTTCTCTCCTCCCCCCACCCCCCAGGCCCGGGACTGGTGCAGTGCCAGGTCGGCGCAGCCCCTGCCGGCCCGGTGCGCTCCCGGGCTGCTCAGTGACCTTGGGCGAGTCCCGCTCCCTCCACCGCGCTGCTGCGGCTGCGGCAGTCGGGCCCCTGGTTTTGTGTGTGGGTTTTTCCCTCTGCTAAGAATACCTGCCCCAGATAACGATCCAACTCCGCAGTGGCTGCAAAGTACCACAGGGCTCCCGGCGGGGGGCACCCGACCTATCCCCCCACGCCGGCTGCGCGAGCGCGCCCCACCTCCACCACAGGGGGGGCCCGCAGAGACGCCAAATTTGGGGGCAGAGCCCGGTGGGCCTGGGGGTGGGGAGGCGTTTGTGTGCAATGCGGGGAAGGCAGTGAGCCTCACACCCCCGCCCAGCAGGCTCGCTGTCCCACTGCACAGGGGTCTAAACTGAGCCCCCCACCCCGGCCAGCCTCCCAAACCCACAGCGGCCGGAGCCTGCGCCCCCGCCCCAGTACCGCAGCTTGGGGGTCCCGGCCGCCGCGCCCCGCCCTGCGGGCACTGCCCCCACGCCGGCGCCCATCGCTGGTGACAACTGCCACGTGCGGGCACGGGGGGTGCGGCCGGTCCCGGCACTGCGACGACGGCGCCCGGGTGCCCCCAGCCCCCGCCGCGCCCCGCACCCGGCTCGCTGCAGGGCGCCCACCCCCTTGCCCGGCCGGCGCTCCGGGCCGGGGCGGGGGCGGGGGCAAGCGGCGGGGTCTTTGTTCCCGCAGCCGGAGCGCGGCGGCAGCGGCAGCGGCGGCGGCGGCGGCGGCGGCAAGAGGTCCGCGCCCCCCTCGCCCGCCAGCCAGCCCGAGCCCTGCGCGCGGGCAGAGCCCGCAGCCCGGGAGGTGGGCGCAGAGGTCGGGAGCCCGGCCGGGGAGGGGTCCCGCGCGGAGGCCCTCCCTCCCCGCCCCACCCCGCTCCCCCACGCCGGAGGGCCGAGAGCCGCTCGGGGCCGGGGAGAGGGGCCCGCACCCTGCCCCGCGCCGCGGCGCCGCTGGCGGACTTGGAGCGACTTAGCCGGGCCCGGCCCCGCGGCTCGCCGAACGCCCCACGCTCCCTGGCGCGCCGGGCGCACCCCCGCGCCGGGACCCACGCCCCCCGGCGGCCGGCCCCGGGCCGCAGAGCCGCGCGCACGCACTCGCGCCGGTGCCGCACACTCAGCGCCCGCCCGCGCCGCGTCCGTCCCGCGCCCGCCGGCCGCGCGGCGCCGCCTACCTCTCCAGACGGCGGCGATGCGGGGTCCGCTCCTCGGGTGGCCTTGGGCGGAGGCGGCGGCCGCCCAGAGCAGCAGCAGCAGCCGCAGCGGGAGCCCGCCCGGGGCCGGCGGGCTGGCGACGCGGGCTCGCGGAGCGCTGGGGGCGGCCCGTCCGGGCGGAGGAGGCGTCATCCCGCGGCCCCGGAGCGACAGCGGCGAGCAGCCGAGACTGAGCCGGCGCCCGGCCGCAGGCAGAAGCCAGCGCCAGGGGGCGGAGCCTCACGGCTGACCCCACCCCGCCCCTCCCCCGCCCCGCGCCGCCCCCGGCTGCCCGCAGCCCGAGTGAGCCAGAGGCGGGCGGACTGCTTCGCCGCCGCGGGGCCAGGCACCTGCGCCAGGCGGGCTCGGGGGCTCCCCGCTGCCCAGGACGCTGGCCTGGAAGTGGCAGGGCGGCTCCCTCGGGGCGCCCCGGGCCACCTCGCCGCGGCCGGCTCAGGGGTCTGCTGTGGTTCCCGGAGCGTGGGCTCGTACGAGCGAGCTGACACGGGCGCGGGACGCTGTCCCTGGGCGGGGGGTGGCGAGGGGCGCGTGCGGGGCGCTCGCGCCCGCCGCAGCGCTGCCCGCGGAGCACCCGTGTTGGCCTGGCTCCCTCCCCTCCCTCTCCTTTCTCCTCCCTTCCCCAGCCAGCAGCCTTCTGGGCTGCCTCCCCCCAGCCAGCTGGTGCAAGCTCAGAAAATCCAAACTCATTTCCATGTGCGCGGAGGGGGATATAATTAGGAAGGCCCCGTCCCCAAGTGGGAAGAAGGGAGCCTCCCGCGGCCTGCCCCGGACTCTGGCCTGGCCGGCGCCGAGGGTCAGATCTGCGTTAGAGAGCTCTCCAGGGCTCAGGGACCGCGGGGCCAGGCCCAGTCCCTGTCTCTGCACCTGCCTGCCCTTGGTCAAAGGTCCCTTCCACCCCAAGCTAGGGAGAGCCCAGGCTCAGCAGGTGCAGTAAGCAGGTGCCCACTGCAAATGTAGCCGGAGGGGGGCGCTCAGCTTGAAGCGAGGTGGGGGGGAGTAGCAGAAGCCGGTGAGCAAGCGTTCGACCTTCAGGATTCACGGGTCTAGACTGGATTCACACACTGCCGACAACCAGCAAAGTCACAGGGCCGGCTGTCCTAGCCCCAGCCCCAGCTCTGGCCAGGGCATCTAGCTCTGGCTCTCTGCATTCCACTTCCTCCTTCCCCCCCTGAGATTCCCACCCCACGGTGGGGGGGGCACAGCAGGTGCAGGAAGTAATATCAAGATGTCCCCTCCCCCGCCCCCCGCCCCCTCAGTGCTGCACCCCAGCCTGTGGCCCCCAAGGCGGTCAGCATAGCCTGGCCCGGGCCAGCACCGAGATGGTCACTGGGTCTGGCCCGCAGCCTCACCTGCTGCACCGGGGTAGCCCCTCCCACCTGCGCTCTCTGTGCCATAGAGGGCAAACTAAGAAATCACCTTGAAACTCCAAGAAGCCAAATGCATTCAAAGTAACGGCATTGGCCGGAGCACAGCTGCTCACGACACACAGCCCACGGACAGCTATGCCGACCCTGCCTGTAAGAGTTGGATTCTGGAGTATTTCAGATACCCTATTTCTCTCTCTCTCTTTCTTCTTGAAAGAAAAGGAGACAGAAAGACAAATCTTCTACCCCCCAGGTAACTCCCCAAATGCTCACAACAACCAGGGCAGGGTCAGGCCAAAGCCCGGAGCCCAACTCAGCCTGGGTCTCCCGTGGTAGGTGGCAGGGGCCCAAGGACTTGGCCATCACCTGCTGCATTAGCGGGGAGCAGGGTCAGAAGCAGAGTAGCCAGGGCTCAAGCCCATAGTCCAACATGGGAGTGTCCCAAGCAGGGACTTTACCCGCGGGGCCCAAGGCGTCCCCAGCCCTACACTCTGCAGTGTAGGTAGCATGCCAACACGTGCTCGCTGCATGCTGCGCGGTGCGTGTCTCACAGCCTCGTCCTAGCTGGCTGCACCCTCACCCTCCTCTAAGACACTGCTGCTGTGCACTGAGAGGACCTGAGCCGGGCCCAGGACCACACAGCTGCTTAGAGGTGGGGCTGGGGCTCTCAGGGGTGAGGTGCCCTGGTGCTGCTCCCTCCTGTCTGGGTCCCGGCCAACCTCAGAAGGACCCAGACTGAGCCCGGGGTCCCCAGGTGCTGGGCAGGGCTGCCTCAGTCTCCCAAGCAACAGGGCAGCAGATGGAAACCAGGGTAGACGCCAGAGCACCATGAGTCGGCCAACCTGGGCAGAGAGGGCCGGGGCCAGATGGCAGGCAGGGGATGCGAGAACTGGACCACAGAGGGGAGGCCGCTGGACAGAGGGTCCACAGAGCAGGGCAGGCACCAGCGCCAGCACCGGGCGCCGACTTTCCCGTGTGGACAGCCCAGGGAGGTCACATCGGGATGGCGTCGGCGGCTGCACTGCAGGCCAAGGCTCAGTCCCCACACACTGCCAACAAGGAGAAACGGGCCAGCGGAGGCAACAACAGGTGCTGGATGCTGACAGAGCTGGGCGGCGGGGAGGGCACTGGGAGGAAGAATTGACCCTGGAGCCTCTGACCCTGAGGATAAAGCCTCCGAGAGGTCACCTCCTGGGCCCTGCAGGCCGCAGAGGCACAGCCAAATCCAGGGAGGGGCGCCTGAGATCCAGGGACTCTGGGCTGGACACACGTTCCAACCACAGCCTCTCGCCGTTCGGGGCCAGTGCTGTCCAACCCTGGGCTCCCTGAGCCTCCTCGCCCTCCTCCTCAGTCCCCAATTCATGGCTTCCGAGGAGGGACCAGGCCCCAGAACAACAGACCTGAGCGGGGTGTGAGGACATGGGGCAGAGGTAATGCACGCAGACGCGCGGCCACGCTCCGCGGTCATGGACACAGTGACCCTAGAATGCCAGCTCCCAGGATCAGAAGCAGCTCCCGGAGGCCGGGCAGTTCCCACAGCCCATGGCTACTGCCTGCCACTGCTGTCCCTGGCCAAGAGAGCAGGCAGGCCAGGGGAAGGCCTGGAGGACACTGCAGGGGCACCTGCCCGGTCCACGGGGCGATCGCCATCAGCGGCAATCCTTGGGGACCGTGGAGAAGCCGCACCTCGAGTCGATGCTGAGATTCTGCAGATGATCCCGAAGCAAGAGACTACATGTAGACAAATGCACGCAGGTGCAGGTCCCCGCCTGGGCCCTCCAGCACCCTACCCTGCGTGCCGCTTCTTGGGGACAGCCAGCGGGGAGTGTAGAGGGAATCTCCTTGACTGAGCAGGCCCTGGCCACACAGCTTGCCCGGCCCTCCCTGCTCTGCCAGTGCCCACTTCCTGACCCTGGCCGGCTTGGAGCCCACGCCTCCCGGGGGACAGCCTGACCCACGGTGCCAAGGGCTTCTTGAGATTGTACTGGCCTTCCTAGCCCTGATGGTGAGGGCTTCCCAGCAGCACCACGGCCCCCGTCTCTCCTCTCTGTCCTTGTCACTCTGGCTGCATGTTCATTGGATGGCCTATAACCACCCATGAGATCTGAGTCCAGCCAGCCAAGTGCAGTGCCGGACAAGTCGTAAAGATTGGGGGGGGGGGGGAGTGGATTTCTCCCATTAAGGCGCTGGTTGGGACGCCTGCATCCCCACTGGCGAGCCTGGGTTCTGTGCGTGCCTCTGGCTCCTGACGCCAGCTTCCCACTCCTGCGGCCCCTCGGAGGCAGTGGTGGACACGCAAGTGATTGGGTTTCTGCCACCCAGCTGGGGGACCTGGCTCCTGGCTTACTCCCAAATGCCAGGATGTCCCTCTGCCTCTCGAATTAAAACAAGATAGAGGAGAGGAATCCACAGAGGACTATTTCGTGCTGGGCAGGGTTGTCAGCTCACCCCAAAAACAGGATGGGTACCTTCCAGAGACTAAGGTAGCACTGGGCTTGTGGAAGCAGCGCCACCTGGTGGCCACTCTGGACCAGACGCGTCCCAGCCGAGAGAGAGGTTTAGGCTCCCAGACCTTCGCAGGATAAACTCCTCCCCGACGCCAACCACGCCCAGATCCACCTCTAAGACTCCATTCCCAGCGCCCACAGCCCGAGCCAGAGCATCTCGTGGAAGTCATGTGGAGCCCATCGAGACTCAATATCTCTGGGCTGGACACGGCAGGGAGGCCGGGGATGAAGCCCAGCTTGGCCGCCTAGTTTCTGTGTTGATGAAGGGAGACAGAGGAGTTCTAGCATCACTTCCCCTCCTGACCCTGCTCCCCTCGAGGCCAGAGGTGGACGCAGCTCCTGCCTTCTGTGTCTCTCCTTGCCTGCGGGTGGAGCCACGCAGCTCTGCAGGGGCCAAGAGGGACAGGGTGGGAGGTGTCAGTCCAAGGTCACTTTTCCTTTGCGAATGAGTGATCCGGGAACCACAGATCTTGGGAGCGCCACACCTCTGCCCTGCCGGCGCAGCGCCACTCCTGCTTCCACACCCCCAGTGATGGTGAGCTCCCTCACTCCGGGGCCACCTCGTTTAGCCACGACATGGCTTCTCGCCTGCCCTCTGGGGCTGCAGGTCCAGCCCGCTCCTCGGGGATTTCAACAGAGAGCTCGCAGCTTTTACACCCCACCCCAACCCCTGGGGTCAATAATCCCACTTCCAAAAAGGCCCCTCCTGGGCTGATTGCTAGGATCCGTCAATGCTGAGCCCGACCCCCGGTTCCGTGCAGTCCAGTGTGGGTCCCACCCTGAGGAGGACTGCCCCTCCCTGCCCGGGGTAGACAGTGGCCTCACTTCTGCGCCCAGAAGGCACTGCCTCGTTTGGGTGGAGATGCTCGGCCATCACACCTTCGGCAGCAACACTGGGCTGCAGGCTTGAGGAAGACGGGGAGGTTAAGTCTGTGACCGGCAGAGGAAGAAGCAAGTCCCCCCCCCCAGCCCCCGGCTGCCACGACCTCCCGTCCTGTCTGTGTCTAGAACGTTCCCCAGGCCTGCATGAGCGCCTGCCACCTGGGATGCACACACTGTCCATATCCACTGACATAAGTCAAGGAAGTTGGTCGGGGTAGGTGCTTGGTTGCTGTGTACAACGGCAGCGTTCCATATCCCAGTGCCCGGATGGGGTGCCGGCTGCTAAGGCACACACAGGTGTTTGAGTCCCCGCGACCCACGTGGCAGATCTTGGTTTTGGCCCAGCCCTGGCTGTTGTGGGCATTCGGGGAGTGAAGCAGTGAGCGGACCTCTTTCTCTCTGCCTTTCAGCCTCCCTCCCCTCGAGCTCTGGCTCCTGGGGGAGCCACCCTGAGCCAGTCCCACCCACACCGGGGAAGGCCAGCACCCCAGCACCCACGTCCTCACGAGAGGCACTCATCCGCCCATGGGGGTGGCAGCATCTCCTGCCCAGGGCTGATGGGGAGACCGAGATGGCACAGGCGTGTGCCTTGCTCGGCACCTGGCACAGAGCGCACGCTTGACAGATGAGCACCATGTACGGCTCTGCTGGGAGCCAGCTTTGCCACGGTAGACTGGGCCAGTGCCTGGGTCACTGTAGAACACGCTGCAGTTACTGGCGACGGCACGGCCTGCGGGACGAGGGGCTGGGCTGAGCCAAGGCCAGCGGGGCAGTGGGGCCCAGCCTCTCGGAGATGCTGGGGAAGCAGACAGAGGGAGTGAGAAGCCACGTCAGGGTAGGGCTCTGAGAGCTTGGTCTGGGGCCCAGGCCAGATGGGGCTGCGGCAAGGCGCAGAACCGGGCCCATGTGCCCAGCAAGCTGTGCCAGCCCAGCCCATGTCGGCCCAGCCAAATCTCGAGTTATATCAGGAGAAGGGATCTGTTCGGAAAATTCACCCATTTCTGTGAATTTGCATATTCTATTTTGGGGTCTCTTCCTTTTTTTTGGTTTCCCTTAGCTTCCTAGAAAAGTTCTCGTGATGAGTTCCAGCTTCACCTCTGTTGAACCGCGCTGCTCACCACCACGGCCAGCAGTCCTCTGCCCCCCCCCCCCACTGCCCACCTGCTCCGTCCTCAACCCACAGAGCGGCTCCGCCAGGTCCCCTCGAGGTGACCACGGCTCAAGGCCCCTCGGCCACACCAGGCCCTCCTTGGCCAGCTCCCTCCAGCTCAGCTCTGGCGAGCCCCGGTCCAGCCCGCCCCATCTGCAACCCATCGGTGCCTGTTGGCTGAGGCTGGCCTTCCTCTGCCTCCACCTTTCCCCACACAGGCCCAGACTGCACCTTTAACTTTTGCTGTCAGCCCTGGGGACATCCAGTGGCCTCCAGGACAGCCCCACCCCCTGCCCATGGCACCTGGGGGGTGGGGGGCTCCAGGCACTGAGAAGCGCTGGTGCCTTCCAAGGCCCAACCCAGCTCCTGATTCCGGCTGTGCCACCTCCCCCTCAGCCTGCCTGCTGCTCCCCCGCACGCACGGAGCTGGTCTGTCCCTCGCACCTCGCATCCCCCCACCCCGCCGCAGCTCTGGCTGAGGCAGGAGCCTCCTAGCTGGCCGCCCACCCTGTCTCACTTCCCCCAAGTCCAGCCTCCACGCAGCTGCTGGTATCTCACACGGCAGTCTGGGCCTCCCCCCACCTCCACATACAGCCCTGCCGGAAGCCACTCGAGGGGTGCCCTCCCCATAAGACCCCAACCCAGCCTGACCCATGGGCCGTGGGCAGCTCCGAGTGACACAGACCTGGGTTTCTAGGCCAGCTTGTCCCTGTCCCGAGCCTGAGACCACAGAGAGACCATGCCACCTCCCGATCCTGGATGCCTCAAGTGAGATGCACAGACACTCCAGTCCAAGACTGTCTAACCCTAAAGCCTCCACTACCCAAGTCCCACGCCATACTATCACAGCAGCGAGTGCACTATTAATTCTAAATCACAAATTCTCTCCCTCCTCCAGCTCTGGGTTTTGTTCGGCCTTGGTCAGCCCGACGCCCCAGCCCAGCTGTTCCCCACAGCACTCAGCACACGCACCTTCCTGCCCCTCAGGCTTGGGAGCCCCAGGGAACGCCCCTTCCTGTGAGCCCCCGCAGGCCCTGGCCTGGCTGTCGCCATCATGTTGGCCTGGCACACAGCGGAGGCTCCGTGTTTGTTGAAAGAGTGAGGGGGACAATGGTCAGGAAGGCGTCCCCGGCCCGCGGAAAGCCCCAGACTCAGTGGGGGCACCTGTCAGGCTCGGCATCGCCGTGCAGGAAGCAGGCCAGCCCCTGGAGGAAAGGCCTGACAAAGGAGGGAAAGGGAAGCCATGGGGCTGCTCAGTTCTGGGAAGCAGCAGGACCAGCTCCAGGGGCAGGCGAGGGGGCGGGGAGGGAGCCAGGGGCTCGTGCTGGGGTGGGGGGTGAGCCGCTGTGGAACGGACACCAGCCCCCCGCAGCTGGGATCACGGCGGGCACCCGGAGGCTGTGTGGGCCCCGCCTGAACAACTCGGGCCCCCAAGAACCGCACTGGTCAGTGAAAGGTGGAAGGTGGGGGCTCCCTGGTCTCTGCTCCCAAGCACGAGGCAGCTGGGGCTCCAGGCAGACCCCTGAGGCGCACAGAGGCCCGGAGAGTCGAGTCCTTGCTGCCAGGCTAATCCTAGGCTTCAGTGAGAACTGCAGCGGTGGGCATCTGGCCTCTCAGGACCCTCGCATCCCCTACTGGAATTCCTGGGTTCAAGGCAGAGTGACAGAGAGAGGGTGACGCCGAGAGATCCTCCACCCCAGATGGCAACCACTGGAGCTGGGCCAGGCAAAGCCAGGAACCCAGAACTCCATCCGCGTCCCCACTCGGGGGTGGCAGGGGCCCAAGCACTTGGGCTGTCTTCCACCACTTTCCCAGACGCACTAGCAGGGAGCTGGATCAGAAGCTGAGTGCCTGGCACTCAAAGCCGCCCTGACATGGGAAGCCAGCAGCGCAAGGCTTAGCTTAACCCTCTGCACCACAACCCCAGCCTCCTGAGAACGCACGGCCTGGGAGACAGCAGTGGTGGCCCAAGTACTTGGGTCCCTGCCATTCACGTGGGAGACCCGGATGGAGTGAGCTCTGGCTTTGGCCCGGCCCCACCCACACCTGACTATGGTGAGCACCTGAGGAGTAAACTAGTAGATGAGATACCTCCTCCTCTCTGCCTTCCAAATTGTTTTTAAAACTTTTTTAATGTTTAAAAAAAAAAAAAGAAAGAAATGCAGAGAATTCATATTTCCTAGAGAAGATAGGGACTAGCGTCCCACCTAGGCCATACTGGAGATGTCCCGCCCTGGGAGGCAGCAGGCGACACTACCTACGTGGGAGACCCGGAGTGAGTTCTGGGCTCCCGGCTTTCCCAGCTGTTGCAGGCATTTGGGGAGTGAACCAGGAGATGGAAGATCTGTCTCTATTTTTCAAATACAGAGAAAATAAACTAAAACAAATAAACCCATTACTGATAAGCCGGGGGTGATCCAGAGAAAAGAACGTGATGTGCTGGGGTCCCCACCAGGCCAGGGCAGAGGGGCAAGCAGAACCCCACTCCGGAAGCAGCGCCCGTGGACGGGTGAGCAGGCTGTCCCCACGAGGGGTGAACCCTCCCTCCCAGCGAGACGAGAGGAAGCTGAGTGGCCAGGACGGGTCAGTGCACTCAGAACGTCAGCAGGCGTGAGACAGCCCAGGGAGCCCTGCGCCGTGTCAGCTCCCAGAGCCACAGGGAGGGACCCGCCTCCTGGAGCAGCTCCGGGGCCCGAGTCCGGCATCAGAGGGTGCTCGGCAGGACTAGGGGAGGGACAGGGAATCTTCTGGAAGCCTTTGAGAGGGAAGTGATGCGCGGGGCCGCCAACTCCCACTGCTCCCCCTGAAAGTCTACTGGGCCCCTCTCTACATGCGGATACTTGGGGCAGGAGCCTCTGTGGTCAAGCTGTGACTGGGCAGCAGCCCTGCCATGGCCTTGGCCACACCCTGAGGCTGCCACACCCAAAGCACCTGAGTCCGGGCCACTCCTGGAAACTTCTCCCCAAGATGACGGTGTGTCACCCCGAATCTCACGACGGGCCCAGAACCAGGACCAGGCCTGCTCCCCGGTGCCACGGTACCAGGCCCCACACACCGCTTGTCTCCATACGTGCCCCCAGCTCCGACCAGCCAAGAAGGCCACGCGCTGGACGAGGTGGGAGAGCTGACCATCAGGTATATTGGGGAGGGGAGGGGCGCCGGCGGCCACCCCTGCAGCCTGCTGGGAGCTCAGGGGGGCGGCGTTCACGGGGCTCCCCCTGCGAAGATGAGCTCCAGGGCCGCCTGGATGTCGCCCCCGGTGGCCTGCAGGGCCCGCAGGCTCAGCTCGTCGTCCTGGATGCCCATGTCACGCAGCTGCTGCAGCTGGGGCTGCCACTGGCTCTGCGGAAAGACGGGGGCAGGGCGGTTAGCGGGGCCCCGAGGGAGGGGGTCCCGGGGTGACGCCACGGAGCACGGGCGGCCACAGGCTGGGGCAGGCTTCCCAGAGAGCCTTAACATGAGGACCCGAAGACAAGACACAGATCACTCCATGTTCTCCTGCTGTACCTTCTCTCTCTCACACACACACACACACACGAGATGATAAAAATAACTCCTTAACAACCCTGGATGTCCTGAAACCACCCCCGCCGAGCTGTGTGTAATCTTTCGCCTTAACGCCGCCGACTGCTCAAACGTCATCTACACGCACAGCCCAGGGTGGAGCCCGCAGGGGCCGGGGGACGCCCTGGGACCCAGTGGCGCCTGCACTCCCTGCGCAGCAAGCCGGCCTGTTCTCCTGCGGGCTCACTGCTCCTGCGTTCTCGGCCCCCCTCCCGTGCACAGGCGAGCTTGCCCTTGGCGCGATGTTTGCCTCTCCAGGTAGCTTCAGCCTGCGTGGGGTTGTTTGCTTTGCCATGAAGAAGTCGTCCCCGTTACAACTTCACACTCGTCCCTCTGCTGTCTCACGGCCCCTAGGTTGTGAGTCCGCCCTGCACGGCCTTCTCCCCCGTGAGGACCTGACGAAACGCACCCCCACTTCCTTCTAGCGCTCCTTGGCTTCATTAATACCTCCTATCTCCTGACAGAGGCGTACACAACGTGGGGAAAATGAGGCGTTCACACGTGGGCAGAAGGCTGGGTTAGAAATGCCAGTCCCGAGCAGCAGCAGGGTGCGAGCGTGGAGGAGAAACCGCACACGTCAACCCGGAGTCACCTCACAGGCGGGCGGAGCCAGGGAGCTCCGGGAGCAGCGAGCAGGCCCCCAGCGGTGCCCACATGTCCCGCGGCTCCCCCACTGCTCACGGGGCCACGCCAGGCAGTGACGACCACGGGCGCTGGAACCCTGCCTTCCCCACTGCATAGCTCTGCGACCCTGGACAAGGGCTGGGAGCGATGGTCAGCCCACAGGCTCACCATGAGGACAGACAGCGCCGGCACCAGGATCCGTCAGGCCAACCGCTCCCCCGCGTGCCCCGGGCCCGCTCGCGGTCAGAGCCAGCGTGAGCTCCTGGGCCGGCACCCGCCGAGGCCCTGCTCTCTCCACCTGGCTCCTGGCAGCTGTGCACCCGGACTCTACTCATGCAAGGAGCCACCTGTGCCTGGAACCGTGCCCTCGCGGCCTCACACACCTGCCCCTGCCAGGGGCTTCAGCACTGCTTCTTCAGCAAACGCCCCCTGGCCCGGGCCCTCCCCGGGGCGGCGGGGCTTCTCGCCTCGCCTCTCCCAGATCCGCACCAAGCTGGCCTCTGGGACAGGGAGCAGGGCTGCTGGCCCCTGGCCCGGCTCCCTGAATGGACCAATGGTCCTCCAGGTCAGGCAGGCAGTCCGGCCGCGGGCACTGGGGGCAGGAGCCGAAGCCGCAGGGATGGGGGCCCCGCACAGGAAGTAGGCAGACTGACCTGTGGGCTGGGCTGCCCGGAGGCCTGCAGGGCGTGCTGCAGGGCCTGGCTGAAGAGGTCGCTGGTGATGGGCGTCCCGGGCTGCGCGCCCGAGGCCAGCGGGGACGTCCCTGAGGAGTGGCCCTGTGGACAGAGCAGGGGTCAGCACCGGTCTCCCCGCTGGGCCACGGCCCCGAGGCACCCAGAGGCTTTCCACGTGGCCAGGAAAGTTCATGGTTTTTCTGCTCCAGAGACACAGACTCTGAGCCCCAGCCCGGCCCAGGACGCCAGTTCCAGCAGAGAAAGGCGGGGCCGGCGTGGCATGGGCTCTACAGGGCAGGGAGACGGTGCCACTCGCGCTCCCGAACAGGAAGTGAGCTGAGCTGCCCTGAGACCCCCGGACTCCAGCCCAGCCCCAGGGCCAGCAGGGGCAGACCCACTCCGCCTCTGGGGAGCTGCGCCCCTTGAGCCCTGCCGTGGCCACCCCGGCCCTCTTCATACCTGGGTGCCAGGAGTTGGCGTGTGGGAGCTGCTCTCCGGGGTGCTGGCCAGGGCCAGGGCAGTGGCCAGCTCGCTCTGGGTGATGGGCCGGGGGCCGGCCGCCCCACTGTAGCCCAGGGACGCTGGGCGGGAGCTGGACGCACTACTGGAGGGCGTGGGCCGGGAGCTCTGGAGGTGGGAGAGACTCTGTGGGGGGGCGGCACCGGAAACTCCCAGGGAAGCCCCCCACCCCGCCGCACTCTAGAGTGTTCTGGGAGAGACTCCCCAAGCTCCTGGGCTCAGAAAGGGACTGCAGGACCCAACCCTGGCCCCGGGGAGGGCTCACTCTCGGGCCGTCACCCCCAGAGGGCAGGCAGCCAGGCCACTCACTGAGTGGAAGTCGTCCTCGTCGTCAGAGAGCCCGTCAAACAGGAAGCCACCTGGAGGAGGGCGAACAGATTTCAGGAGGAAGAACAGAAAGGCACAGGCGCAGCTCCAGACAGCGCCAGTCACTCTCCAAATCCGTCAGCTCATTCTCCCCTCGGAAAATTACAGGACAGATGCACTTCCTGACTCAAACCGAGCGCTCCCAAGGAACGCCCTCTGCCAGCGCTAAACATAGCTGCCGGAGCGCCGGCGCTGGGGCTCACCTGGCACGTCGCGGTACGAGCTGGAGGGCAGGTTCCGGCCAGAGGACTCAGCCCCCGGCATCGGGGTGCTGCCTGCCACCGAGTGCAGCACCAGGACGATGGCGTTGACCAGGGCCGGGTGAGCAGGCACCAACCTGGGACAAGGGCAGGAAAACACCAAGGGCGACTCAGGAGACGGGCTCGGCCGCATGGGAGCGTGGGGCGCCTGCCCCTCAACTCCTCCGTCCTCGGCGTCTCCCGCCAGGGAGCTCTGCCCTCCTGCTCCCTGCCCCGGCCGCGGCAGCAAGGCCTTCAGTTCCCAGGGGGAGGGGGCTTTGGGCTGCCCACTGCCCGAGAAGCCCTCGCTCTTCCTGGCCTCCTGACAGACAGCTGTCCCTCAGCCCATCCTCCCAAAGACAGAAACCCCCACAGGTGCTCACGTCCCAGTGCAGGCACAGAACCCTCTCGGGGTCACTCTGGGCACCTAACACAGCACCAGCTACACGCACAGTCGTCACAAAATGACAAGGAAACCTGCGCAATTTTCCTTTTTCTTTTTTTAGCATTTTCAATCCACGGTTGGTCAAATCCACTGGTAGGGAGCACTGGCTGTGTCCAAGGTAGCCTTGGTGACAGCCTGGGGGACGGCCCCACGAGCAGTGGGCCTGACCACTGCAGGGCTGTGATGGGCGCACTTACGTGTCGAGCATGTTGGGATCGGCGAAGACGGAGAAGAGGTCTTTGTCCTGGAGCACCCCTGAAAGAGAACAGGGGTTCCCCAAGAATGGAACTCTGGCCAGACCCTGCAGGTCTCAGAGCACCCAGCAGCGTGCCCGCCCCTCACCCCACACGGTGCAGCCCCGAGGGCCCTCACTCCAGCTGCCTTCCCCGCGCCCCAGGGCTTCCCTCATCCATTACAGCGTGCAGGATGCGTCCTCTACTCGCCTCACCACGCCGGCTGGGCCGCTGTCTCGCCGTGGGACTGAGCTCGCTCAGAAAGCTGGGCGCACGGAGCGACCCTGAAGCCGCCCTCCTCCCACAGACCAGTGCCTGCAGGGAGACTGGCTCCTCCGGGTTTCTCCTTCCCAACCGCTCCCACGTCCTCGGCAGGCCCGCACCTACCGAGAGCAATGGGGTCACTGCTGAGGCCCGGGGTGGCCACGATGATCTGGTCCAGAGACTCCTTATTGCTGAGCATTTTGAAGACCTGCAGGAGGCAGGCAGGGCTGAGCTCTCCCAGCAGCCCAGGGCCCTGCCCAGGCACCCACTCTGCCGCGGGACGGCCCTGTCGAAGCGCGTGCCACGTGCACCCCGCGGGGAGCAGGGCCCTGGAGACACACACACCGCTCCAGCAAGGGAAGCAAACAACAACAATAGAAAACACAGGGCCACGGGAAACCTTCCGTCTCCGTGGGCTGCCCCCGTGTGCAGTTCTAACACAGGAAACGCAAGTGCTCAGCACGGCCCAGGAGCGCAGCCCCGGAAGTCCCTTCCGTCTCTGCACGATTCCTTCACTCCGCCCCGACTGCGACACTCACAGCTGTACTCAGCAGCCCCTCTCCCCGGGGAGGAATCCCACCCAGTAAGGGCGGCAGGCAGGCAGCTCAGGCAACGTCTGGGTGTGGCCTGGCAGAGGTGGGGCGTGCACCCTTCGGTTGTCACCACCCTCTCTCTGTGACAGAGGTCTTAGCTCTATCATTAAAAGGAAGCCGCCGCCTGCGACGCTGACATCCCATGTGGGCGCCGGTTCGAGTCCCCGCTGCTCTACTTCTGATCCAGCTCCCTGCTAATGCACTTGGGAAAGCAGCAGAGGATGGCCCATGTCCTTGGGCCCCTGCACCCACTTGGGAGAGGGTGCTCCTGGCTGCTGGCTTTGGTCTGAACCAGCCCTGCCCATTGCAGTCATTTGGGGAGTGAACCAGCTGATGGAAGATTTCTCTCTGTAACTCTCCGTAACTTTGCCTTTCAAATAAACAAATCTTTTTTTTTTTTTTTTTTTTTTTTGACAGGCAGAGTGGACAGTGAGAGAGAGAGACAGAAAGAAAGGTCTTCCTTTTGCTGTTGGTTCACCCTCCAATGGCCGCTGCGGCTGGCGTGCTGTGGCCGGTACACCGTCGCTGATCCGATGGCAGGAGCCAGGTGCTTCTCCTGGTCTCCCATGGGGTGCAGGGCCCAAGCACTTGGGTCATCCTCCACTGCACTCCCTGGCCACAGCAGAGAGCTGGCCTGGAAGAGGGGCAACCGGGACAGAATCCGGCGCCCCAACCAGGACTAGAACCTGGTGTGCCGGCGCCGCTAGGTAGAGGATTAGCCTAGTGAGCTGTGGCGCTGGCCAACAAATGTTTAATTAAAAAAAAAAAAAAAAGACTCTCCAGTGTGGCTGATACTGGCTCTCTGGAGGCAGACAGACAGGGCCAAACCTCCCCAGGAGCTCCCAGCTGCTGTGCAGCAGGCGTCCCACCGCCACCCCCACCGCTCGCCTGTTCTCACACACTCACCGCCTCCCTGTAGGACGAGCTGCTGTGCAGGGCAGTGTGCAGCACCCGGAACTCCCTCATGGCAGCCACCTTGTCCACAGGCTCTGGGAACACGACACCGTCAGCGACCACAGCCCAGGCCCCACCCCACGCCCGTGGCAGCCCCACCTCAGCCCGTGCCCAGGTCAGCCTGGTCTGCAAGCTCCCTTCCCTCTCGCTCCCCAGGAAGGAGCGGCCATTCACAAAAAATGCTTTGTGCCAACCATGTGAAGACGGCACTCTCTTCTGAGTACCTTCAAGTAGATAAACCAGCAGCCGGGAGAGAGCGCTCTGGCCAGCCCGCGGCAGGGACTCGAGGCTTAGCCGGGAGAGAGCGCTCGGGCCAGCCCGCGGCAGGGACTCGAGGCTTCTCAGATTCAAAGGGAGAATGTATGACACTACTCTGCCAGGCCAGCGTGGTGACAGTCGGAGCGACCGTGTCACAGTATGTCACAGACACCAAGCCCAGCACCTGCCCCCAAGTGGAGGAGACAGGAGGGAAAACAGCACTGAGGCAGGATCCGGCCACTGCTTCTCTCGGGTGTTTTCTTTCAGGTTTCTCTAAATATTATTTTTCCCTCTTAAAGAAATATACAAACAACAAAACACGCTGTACTTCCAGGCTCTTACCCAACTCAGCACACTCCCCAAAGCGAGCGTGTCAACAGGCCCCAAATTCCTTTGCGACCCCTGGACACTGCGACCCATACACAGGGCACTCCAGAAAGCTCATGGAAAATGGAATTAAAAGCTCAGTTTGCTTTGGCGCAGAGAACTTCTACCCGTGTGTGCGAGAAGGTCCGGCAGTTGTCTCAGGTCCGCCGGGTGCCCTCGCTATTCAGGACATCAGCCCACTTCACAGGGGAAGAAATGTGAGTGGCGCGAGGGGAGCAGCGGGAAGCTCACCCTGGGCACTGCTCAAGGCCGCTCCCTGTGACCTTACACGTTCTGCACCACCCAGCTCCAGGGCAACACTCCCAGAGCGAGGGGAACAGCACCCCGGGGTGCAACCTGGCAGCACGCCCCTGGCTCGGTGCTCCTCATGAGGGTGCCTCCTTCGACAAATATGCACCTAAGTGACCCAAGGCACCTGCTGCGCGTGAAGCCCACACCTGGCTCTGGGCCAGGCACAGGACTGCAGGCAAGAACCCGCCACCAGGGAGCCCCTGGCAGGAGAAAGGAGACCGGATGCAACGGACAAGCCCACGGTCACACACGCCGGCGGAGACCTCGTCCCAGCTCGGACACTGGGAACGTGGCGGCGGACGGCCATCACTGAGGCAGGGCCAGGACACACGGCTGCCTCCCGCAGAGGTGTTTCCTGGGGGAAGAAGGGGCCCCGAGCCTCAGCAGGAACACGCACAAAGCAGAATGTGGGTGCTGAAGGAGCAGCAAGCGGCTGCCTGGGACTGCAGCTCGGGGCGCGTGCACACCCATGGGCCTAGAGCAGGCTGACGTGAGACCCTGAATTCAGCGCTCTGTCTCCCGCTCCACAGGACCGAGGACGTCTAGGGCTGGCTCCCATCCAGCAGGAGAGTCAGAGATGTGCTTCCTTGGAGCAGTGCCCATGGAGAAAGTCTGAATGGTGTCACAAATCAATTTCTTTTGAGATCTCGAAGTCCATCTGTTTCAAACATAAATGTCCAGGAGAAGGCCTCGTCCTATCCCGAGCTGGCAACGGGCTAAGAGGGGCAGGAAGAAGCCAGGCTCTGCAGGCCAGGAAAACCCAGGTCCCGCCCCAGCTCTGCTTTCTGAGTAGGTGACCTTGAATAATACCCCTGCAGGCCTCTGCATCTACGGAGCGCTCATGCCGCCGCCGCCCCTGCAGGGCCGCTGGGATGATGGAGTGTGGCATCAAAGGGAAAGCCTGGCTCACGGGAGCCACACATGTTTCTTCCTTCTGTCAACTTCCTCCAGCCAGAGAGCACGCGGCCCGCCCGCATCCGAGCAAGCTGGGCCCACTGCTCCAGCCAGAGACGCAGGCTTCGGGCTTGGGCTGGGGCTGGGAGGTCTGCAGAGGCAGAGTGGGGTGATCTCACGACTGGGCGTCTTTTAGAACTCTCATCTACAAGGAAGGAAAACGACAGGTGCACGTGGGGAAAGGCAGCGTGCCAGGAGAGGGGCTGTCTAGGCCAGGCGTTAGGCTTGGACCCTGCTTCTGGCCTGACCCACAGCGGCCGCAGGTGTCCCTGTGCGAGGCCGGCGGCCGGCGCAGGTGTCCAGGCCCACAGCACTGCAGGGCTGCCCCTCTCTTCCTCGCTGCCGTCAGGAGATGGTCTGTCCTTCCCGTTCCCGGCAGGAATGTCGGCCTAGGCTGACAGCTCGTCACAGCGATCGCGAACACCACAACAGCGAGTCGAACAAGTCAATCTCTCTCACACAACGTGGCTTTACCCTGGGGGCGGGGGAGCTAGTACGCCGAACAGATTTCCACTGGGAATTCCAAGCGGCGCCTTCTGTGGGTGGATCAGGAGGCCTCGGAGCTCTGCACACGCTAAGAGCCACGTGCACACCAGGAAGGCAGGGGAGTCAGCTGACGGGGCCCGAGGGGCGGACGTGCATGAGGATTTGCCAATGAGAAGGAAGAGCGGAGCTTTCCCGGGGCCGAGAACAACACTAAAGGAGGGACCCAGAGCCACTGTAACCAGACCCACGTTCCAACCCCCGCGAGGGCAGTGAGTGGAACTTACACACATCTCGCCGCAGCGGCCAGCAAGGCCCAAACGGGACTCTGTTTACCAACGTGGTCTGATCCCGTAAGTAACAAACCAACCCCCCCTGCTGCTGCCTGGGGAGCGCGCTGACCCCTCCCTCACAGAAGGCCCGCCCACTTGTGCAACGGCCGACCCCTACTCACCCGGTTTCTGATCAGGCTCAGGCCAGGACTTGCGCAGGACGTGGACGGTGGACCCAGGCTGGATGCCATAGAAGTCAAGGGTCTGGTCATCTTTCAGCTTCCGGCCACAGTAGATCAAATCTGAGAAGAACCGCCCCTTTACAGTTTGCTCCTCCAACAATGTACAGTTTCTGGCCCCGGAGAACCTTACTTTGGTCGCACAGACAGCTGGGGAGTGATGTACACTTTAAAGGACACTCTTATTTAATAGATTTTTTTATTTTATTTATTTATTTTTTTTTTGACAGGCAGAGTGGACAGTGAGAGAGAGAGAGACAGAGAGAAAGGTCTTCCTTTTGCCGTTGGTTCACCCTCCAATGGCCGCCGCGGCCGGCGCGCCGCGCTGATCCGATGGCAGGAGCCAGGAGCCAGGTGCTTTTCCTGGTCTCCCATGGGGTGCAGGGCCCAAGCACCTGGGCCATCCTCCACTGCACTCCCTGGCCACAGCAGAGGGCTGGCCTGGAAGAGGGGCAACCGGGACAGAATCCGGTGCCCCGACCGGGACTAGAACCCGGTGTGCCGGCGCCGCTAGGCGGAGGATTAGCCTAGTGAGCCGCGGCGCCGGCCATTTAATAGATTTTTTAAAAAGTATTTCTTTTGGGGCCGGCACTGTGGCTCACTTGGTTAATCCTCCGCCTGCGGCGCTGGCATCCCATATGGGCGCCGGGTTCTAGTCCCGGTTGCTCCTCTTCCAGTCCAGCTCTCTGCTGTGGCCCAGGAAGGCAGTGGAGGATGGCCCAGGTGCTTGGGCCCTGCACCCCATGGGAGACCAGGGGGAGGCACCCGGCTCCTGGTTTCAGATCGGCGCAGCTCTGGCCATAGTGGCCATTTGGGGAGTGAACCAATGGAAGGAAGACCTTTCTCTCTGTCTCTCTCTCTCACTGTCTATAACTCTACCTGTCAAAAAAAAAAAAAAATGTCTTTCTTCAAAAGGCAGAGCCGGGTAGAGGGGGAGGCAGAGACAGAGGTCTTCCATCAGTTGGCTCACTCTCCACATGTCTGCGATGGCCGGGGATGGACCAGGCTGAAGCCGGGAGCCCGGAACCCCATCCGGGTCTCCCACGTGGGTGGTAAGGGCCCAAGTTCTTGAGCCATCATCTGCTGGCTTCCCAGGCGCATTAGCAGGGAGCTGGGTTGGAAGCAGCGCAACCAGGACCCAAACCGGCACCCGTATGGGATGCCGGCATCACGAGCGGCAGTATCACAATGCCGGCTTCAATCAATGGATTTTAACAATTGTTAGGACAAACTCATAAAATGGAGTTACACGGAAACTGGCACAGAAAAGCTCTCCAGCTTAACCCTGCGGACGCTGCGAGATTCAAATGAACGGGACAACGCAAGAACCAAAAAAACCTTCCAATCGATCGTCCCGAATGCTACCCGCTGAGCAGTCCTCCCCGGCCGACCCTCCCTCCCAGGTGTCTGCCCTTCGAGAGGCAGAGCTCAGTGAGGTCACAGGCGGGCAGCTGGTGGTGAAGCGGTCAGTACAACACGGACTGAGATGGCAACCAGCCGCTTTGTTGTAAGACACGTGTGTCTGGTCAGCCAACACGCACGTCCCTGGTGTACCAACACCTCCAGACAAATCCAAGCCCAGGACTCCAGAAGCGCCCTCCTCAGAGAGAGCCGAGAGCCGCCCAACCTCGACGCGGAGGCTCACCGATCAGCTCGGGGTCCGGGACAGACTCCTGGAGTTTGCCGGCAATCAGCTGCTTCAGGAAGGAGATACTGTAGCCCCCCAGCGAGTATTCCCCCAGTTCTGTCTCTGGCAACCGGAGAACAGACTTGGGGGCCAGGGGCTGGTCAGCCAGCCTCACTGCCAGGTGCCAGTCTGAGAGAGACATCCTCTCTCGTTCGCGCTCTCTCTTTCTCCCTGTGAAAGAACACAGCCTCAGTGGCCGGAGCTCAGGCCCCTCCCCACCACGCCCACCTGCCAAGGGGCTGACTGAGAGACAGGTGTCCTGAAGCCCGGGATGCAGCATCTGGGCCAGAACCAGCACTCATCCTGCGTCGGGCAGCAGGGGCCTGCAGCACCATCCAACCCCACAGGAATGTCCTGAGGCCCAAAGGAAACCACCCAGCCCCCTCTCGTCTACCCACTCACTCCCGGCTTCATAGCAAGTTCTCTGCCTGCTGCCTCTCCTTACAAACCTCCACGCGGCCACCCAACTCACCATCGTAAACCTGATTCATTTACATTTTATTTGCAAGGCACGGAAACAGACACCTGCCACTCTCCACTGCCCATCGGCCAGTGTCTGGGGGCCCCGAATTCAACCCACGTGTCCCAGGTGCATGGCCGAGGTCCAGCTCCTTGAGCCCTCACCTGCTGAAGTGCAGCAGGAGGAGCTGGGATTTGAACCCCCGCACTGCGACGTGGGAGGCGGCGCCCGGGCGGGGCCTTTAACCGCTGCCCCTCCCCCCGGGCCGGCCCCCCAGCGCTTTGACACGCAGGTGCGGTCCGGTCACTTCTCTGCTTATGACCGCTCCAGCGGCTCCACGCTCTGACCTGCACGGCCCGGCTTGAAGGTTCCGCCCCATCAGAGCTCCGCCCGGCCCCACCTCGCCGCCCACCGCCCACCGCCCAGGGCACAGGCCCGCTCACCCGTGTCCTCTTCCCTTTCTGGCCTCTTGGCACACTTCTAGCAAGACCGACCCACCTACAACCTCCTCCGTGTCCACGTCCCCTGCCCCCTGGAGGCAAAGGGGGCTACAGCTTCCCATCAGCGCCCCCCCCACACACACACACTGCCAAGAAGACCCTAAAATCTGCCGCCTTTAGGGTCTCCGTCCCTGGTACACACGGCCGGCCAGAAAATAAATCGGGAACCTCTGAGGGTGGGAGACTCGGGTCAGGCCCTTGTCACAGGCATCGCTACCGCCTCAAGCAGGCCTCTGGCAGCAGAGAGGACGGAAAAGGCCACGAGGCTGCACCCCCAAGGGACCTCCCACCCCAGGTTCAAGACAGGGAAGAGATGCGGGAAGGGGGCTTTTTATATGCACCGCGCTCACTGAAGCCGGACACGCGTTCCCGAGGCGGGCAGCACCATCCCTCCACTCGACGCCGCGATCGAGACCCGGTCACGATCACGGACAGGGACGGGTGGGGGCAGGGGCGCTGTCCCACGGCGACCCCAGCGCTCTCGCGCGGCCAGTTAACCAGTCGCCCCCCGTGCAGCCCGCGCGACCCGGGGCCCGGCGCCCTCACCCGTCCCGCGGAAGGAACCCGGCCGCAGGGCCGCCGGTGTAAACACTCACTCAGGCCCTCGCGCCGGAAACCGGAAGCGCCGCGCTGCATTGTGGGAGTTGCAGTCCCCGCCGTGGCCCCGCCCCGGGCGGGCTCGTGGCGGCGACGCTTCCGGTTCCGGGGAGGGCGCGGCTTCCGGGATGTTCGAACTGCCCCGCGGGAGCGCTGCGCCTCGCCTCTCTGTGGGCAGCGTCCCGCATCTTCCGCCCCCGCGAGTCGCGGGACAGGCATTTGTGGGTTTTTTCGTTTTTTTTTTTGTTTCAAAGACAGTGTCCAGCCCGGCGGTTCCCGCGCGCCGCTGAGGAGCGTGTGGGGTCCGGCGGTGGAGACGCCCGCCGCTGGGCCCTCGGCGGCCCCTGACCCGCGTCCCGCCGCGACCCCTCCTTCCCTTCGCTACGCCCGTCGCCGGTGGGCTCTCCGCCCACGCGTGGAGTCGGCCTCTTTTGCGCCCGCCGCCAGCGACTTACCCATGGGGGCGTCCCGGTGTGCGCCCGGCTTTGGTCCCGGAGGGGCTCCCGGGGCGCCCTCTGCCGCGGCGGGGTGCGGAGGGGGAGTTTGCACGAGTTTAGAGTTAGCTTCCGTGCTGGAGAGAGACTCCGGACCGGGCTCGGGGTGGGGTGGCCTGGAGCCCCGAGAGGAGCCGCCGCAGAAAGGGTGGATGTCCGGAGGTGGCGAGGTAGACGATGGCGGCCGCCGGGGCTGCTCCGCCGGCCACAGGATGACCGCCCCCCTGCTGGGCTCCTCAGGGTCTGCCCTGGCTTCGGACACCGGCCACAGGATGACCGCCCCCCTGCTGGGCTCCCCCAGGGTCTGCCCTGACACCGGCCACAGGATGACCGCCCCCCTGCGGGGCTCCCCCAGGGTCTGCCCTGGCTTCGGACGCCGGCCACAGGATGACCCCCGCCATGGGCTCCCCCAGGGTCTGCCCTGGCTTCGGACAGCGGCCACAGGATGACCCCCGCCCCTGATGGGCTTCCCCCAGGGTCTGCCCTGGCTTCGGACACCGGCCACAGGATGACCGCCCTCCTGCTGGGCTCCCCCAGGGTCTGCCCTGGCTTCGGACGGAAGCCCAGGCCCCTCATGGCTGTCCCCATAGGCGCCCCCTTAGCCCACCCTACCGGCCCGCCCTTAGCCACGCCACGTCTCAGGAGTCGCCCCAACCATCCCGCCCTATTTGGGGTCCTGTCTGCCTCGCTGACCACGCTGCCCGTCTTGTTATTAGACGTCCGTACTGTGCCTTGGCGCCTGCAGCAGGAGCCCGCGACCCTGTCTGACCGCGCTGGGAGCTTGTGAATATGTTCTTTAGAGTAGTTTTGGCCTCTCCGTGGGGGAATGGACTCTGTCCTGCCCTCCACCGGACTAGGGCCTGGCCCATAGTGGGTGCGCAGTAAGGAAGTGTTGGATGGATTCTTCGGGCCACAGCTATGCGCTCTAGCTGTCTTGCTCCCCAAGAGGAGATGAGCAAGTGGATGAGGGAATAAACAGATTCTTTGGGAACCCAGCCGTGGATGGGCGCTGGGCTCCAACGTGAGGGTCGGCCGGGTCCTAGAGAAAATGCTAACCTGGACACAAGACCGGGACGCAGGAGCAGGCCCAGCCCTTCGGCCCGTCCACGGTGAGGGGCTCTGAGATAGCGCTGGGCCATCAGAACCGGCAAGAGAGCGAGCAGCCCACGCAGCACCCCTCACAGCGCGTGGGTGCTGACATGTTACAAATAGCGTTCTTTCCTGCTTTTGAAATTAATACAAGGATTTCTGGGTCTGGCGAGGTAGCAGCAAAAGTCCCAGCCCAAGTGTGTGTAGAATACTAATAATTCTATGCAACCCAAGCGTGAATGGAGTCATACATGAGGACCGCACGGCTGCAGTCCCAGGAGAAGTGGAAAAGCCCCCGCCGGAGATGGAGGAACCGAAACGCAGCGGTGAGCGTCAGCGCCGCTGGGCCCCTCCCCAGAAAGACTTGCGGTCTGGGCAACCTTGCGGGAGTTTTTGCTTTAACACCTGAGATGCTGAAACTGACAACCAGCTCCGCCTGAAGTTGAAACCCTTAAAATAGCTGCACGCTAAGTGAAAGGGCGGAGAGCGGGGAAGGTCACGGCCAGCCTGCAGGGAGGGTACGGGAAGTTCTCTCTGCCTGGCCCGGCGAGGGCAGTGGGCGGGGAGTTGATGTGTGAAAGTCGGGGCTCACCCGAGAATCGGAAACCGAAACGTGTCTTTGTGCCCGTGTGAGGGGGACTTTCCAAGGCTGTGCAGGAACACCCAAAGCTGGTCCTGAGGCTCATGGCAAAGCAACATAAATGCTCTTTGGAGCAAGCCAAAGCTGTCTGACAGGAAATAAGAAAGCCAAACTGAGCGTGTGTGTGTGTGTGTGTGCGTGTGTGTGTGTGTGAGCAAACCATTAGCAAATATTCACGGAAAGTTTTATTGTGAAAGTCAAAAATCAGGTGACTGTGTATGAGTCAGTTTCTGTCAATTCTGTCCCATTAGTGTGGTGTGGGTTTTTTTTTTAGGTTGATGGATTTGAAAGAGGGAGAGACAGATCTTCCATCCCCTGGTGTACTCCCCAGATGGCTACAACAGGCGGAGCAGGGCCTAGAGCTTCTTCCAGGTCTCCCTCGTGGGTGCAGGGTCTCAGCACTTGGGCCATCTGCTGCTGCTTTCCCAGGGGCATTAGCAGGCAGCTGGATCTGAAGTGGAGCAGCCGGGGCTTGCACTGGCACCAGTATGGGATGCTGGCAGTGCAGGCCAACAGCTTACCCCTCTGTGCCACAGCGCCAGCCTCCCTAACAGCCCGTTAACCACTGACTCAGACACCTGCCCCACCATCAATACAGTTTTCTGTCGTTGTGCCAGTACCACGCATCTTGATTCCTGTACCTAAAGATAGCTACATCTACAGAATACACTGACTTCTGGTAGCACGGGTGCTCACACTCCGCTTTGTTCTGATATAGGATGGGTATGCTAGCACAGACTGACGGCAATTGTTAGCTTACTTTATGCTTCTGAAAATATAGTCGAGAACTTGGTGTTGTCTCAGCGTTGTTCGTCAGCTGCTTGCAAGGCTGGCATCCTGTGTGGGTGCCAGTTCCAGGCCCAGCTGCTCTGCTGCCAGCCCACGTGCACCTGGGAAAGCAGCAGGTGAGGGCCCATGTGCTTGGGCCCTCGCCTACATGGGAGACCCGCTAACGCTCCTGCCTGGCCCAACCCCGGCTGTTGCAGCCATTGAGGAATGAACCAGCGAATGGAAGAGCTCTCTTTCTCTCTGTGTGTGTCTCTCTTTGTCTCTTTCTCTCTGTCACTCTGCATTTAAAAAATAAACACAATTGATTGATTTAAATAACACGTCTTCAACAAAACTTAGATAGTTCTACATGCTTGTATAATAACGTTTCACAGCCGGCGCCGCGGCTCACTAGGCTAATCCTCCGCCTTGTGGCACCGGCACACCAGGTTATAGTCCCGGTCGGGGCACCGGATTCTGTCCCGGTTGCCCCTCTTCCAGGCCAGCTCTCTGCTGTGGCCAGGGAGTGCAGTGGAGGATGGCCCAAGTGCTTGGGGCCTGCACCCCATGGGAGACCAGGATAAGTACCTGGCTCCTGCCATCGGATCAGCGCGGTGTGCTGGCCGCAGCGCGCTAGCCGCGGTGGCTGTTGGAGGGTGAACCAACGGCAAAGGAAGACCTTTCTCTCTGTCTCTCTCTCTCACTGTCCACTCTGCCTGTCAAAAAAAAAATTAATAACGTTTCACTTAGTTTGAATATTTTCTCATGTTAAAATTGTCTTTGAAAATATATTTTTGCTTTTTTTAAACAATTTCAAGTTGACAGCAGTGTTGCAAAAGTAGTGTGAAATAGCTCCCTTCTACCCTTTACCCAAAGTCCCCAATTATTAGCATTTTACATTTACCTATCATTTTTTCTAAAATGATAGGTAATTTATTTGAAAGTCAGAGTTACACAGAGAGAGAAGAGGCAGAGAGAGGGAGAGAGAGGTCTTCCATCCGCTGGTTCACTCCCCAGATGGCCACAAGGGCTGGAGCTGCGCTGATCCAAAGCCAGCAGCCAGGAGCTTCTTCCTGGTCTCCCACACGGGTGCAGGGGCCCAAGGACTTGGGCCATCTTCCACTGCTTTCCCAGGCCACAGCAGAGAGCTGGATCAGAAGAGGAGCAGCCGGGACTAGAACGGGCGCCCATATGGGATGCTGGCGCCCCAGGCCAGGGCTTACACCCACTGCGCCACAGTGCCGGCCCCTTACCTACCATTCTTTCTCTGTCATTCTAGACATGCTTTATTCCTTTTTCCCATTTGAGGGCGTTGGAGAGCCAGTTGCGTACATAATGTCCCATGAACCTGAAATATTCATGGATGTTTCCTGAATGCAAGGGCACGTTCTGCTGCATAGACACGGTACAGCCCATCCAGATCAGGAACAGAATACAGTACCCCCAGCGGACACACTGATGCCTTAAATCGCACCAGCCGTCTCAAGTGGCGGCTGATCGCCTGTCCGCTGGCTTCATAGGCTGATCGCCTGTCCGCTGGCTTCATAGGCTGATCGCCTGTCCGCTGGCTTCATAGGCTGATCGCCTGTCCGCTGGCTTCATAGGCTGATCGCCTGTCCGCTGGCTTCATAGGCTGATCGCCTGTCCGCTGGCTTCATAGGCTGATCGCCTGTCCGCTGGCTTCATAAGCTCTGTGGGAGAGCTGCACTAAGTGCGTCGTAGCCGTCATTTCTCCAAGAGCCTTGGCTCCTTTTAGAGAAGAATGGTATTTAGAATCCAAGTCTGCGTGCTCGGTGTGCTCATTGGGTGGGGGTGTCATTTCCCGTCATCTCAGTGGATAGACCTAGGAAGTAAATGAATGTTTACCCACACAGCCATTCGTCTACATCTCTATCATATGTTACACATACCCACAAGGGTACTTATAAAAGTTCATGGAAAATGGAATTAAATGTATTTTGGTGCAAATTTGAAGCCCA